CTTAACAGTGAAAGCATGTTATATTTGCTTCTGAAAAAAAGCAAACACTGACCACTTTGAAAATAGAATTTAATTTGTTTTTTTTTAAAAATCCAAACGGTTTAACTAATGCCAAAATAATGAAATTAAATTAAATAAGAGAAAAATCTAATGGGGACTGTATACTGTTTTAATTTTGCCTGCAAGTGAAACAATGTGACATATTTTGTGTCTTAACCCTGATTTAATTCAAGATTTAATATAAGATTTAAAAACTGACACAATTATTGAAATTCCTCAAACATTTAAATAACCGTACAAAGAGGCGTTTATCAAGTTTCTAACCATGAGAACTTCCCAGGGATTTGACAGGCACACTGTGTGTAGTTCTCTGGCAACATGTTGCATCTGTTTAATGGGAACTTCTCTTCGAGCAACACTCTTACACAGTGAAGCTCCAATATTTACTGACCATCAACAGCTAGGCCTGATGTTTTGTTCTCATAGTGAAGTTGCCAGCTTCACACACACATTTCACTCTTACCAAAACTACAATCATTTTTTGGAGGGATTAACTCATCCTGACCTGGAGGTTGTGTTGTTTTGTTTGCGTAACCCAATTTGGCGTCCAAATCCAGGGCCGGACTGGGACAAAAATTCAGGCCGGGAGTCATACATCCACCCAGGCCACCCAATCCACACATTACATGCTCACACACGTGCACGTGCACACGGACACACATATGGGCTAAGTAATCACCAAATCTCATTATTCCAGACTGACAGTCACACAACAACTCTATTATATTAAACACAACTGTAACAGCAACCCTACTTATAGTCCTCCAGTCCAGTGCTTTTCTCTTCTCTACCCTCACCAAATGTGTCCCTCAATAAACCAGGACTCCTATATGAATGGGTATCATGCTGAACTAAACAACATGATTGTATTATTTTGTCAGCAAATCATTTTGATGTCAGCTTATCATAATCAATATGGCAACACCCATAAATATAAGTCAGCAGCAACTTCAACTTATCTGATCTTATTTCAGTAACATTAGATAGATATTATAAACTTTTTAACTTAGACAGATAAGAGCCTATCCTTAAGAGGGGTCCCCAAACTGTTTCAGCCTGCGCTGCTCTGTACAAAATGGAACCAAATGGACCCTTACGGGTTAATTTGGCTCTTATAGCTTATCATCAATCATTTATCTGGCCTCGGGTTGGTCCCCATCCTCACGTTGAGAACAACCAGTTACTTTTCTATGTTAACTTACTTGTTGCAGCATCATCATTTGACGACGTCACACTGCTGATGGGGGGGCTCTGAACATATCTGTAAGTTTATGACATTTGGGCGCCTCCTCCTCAATGGCCCTTTTTTTTTTAAATCTCTCTCCCGTTCAGCTCCACCTTTCCTCTTTTTGCGGTCCATTGTAACGGCACTGCTGAGCTGCAGAGCTCCTACTGCACAGTCTGCACACACAGGCACACGTACACACCCTCTGCTCTCTGCTCCACCTGACTCTCCACAACCAATCTGCTTTCAGTTTACAGGCGCGCTGATTTGGAGGCGGGCGCGGGCGGAAAGCGAAACAAACTAATCACGTCTTGAATCTACAAAAAAAAAAACCTTTTTGACCAATCGTTGTGACAAATGCTGACAAGCACCTATCACTTCTGACAGCGGGCGGGCTCTCTGCCAGCCGGCATGGCCACCTGCGCTGCGCAGCCTGCACTGCAGAGCGTGCCTTAAAAAAAAAAAAAAAAAAGACAGGCAGGCCAGAGCAGACCACTTGCGGGCCAGGCCACCGGGGAACTCCCCGGTTCTCCCGTGGGCCAGTCCCGGCCTGTCCGAATCAACACTAAAAAGAGATAGAGAGGACTTATGAAATATTCGTAGCTACAGTGTAGGTGTTAGCATTCAGGTTTGAAGAACAGTTGCAAGAGAAAGGTGAGAGGAAATGTGGCCAAAACCACACAGAAAACCAAGAAATGTGAAGAACTCACAGATAAACTTATGTTTAGTTTTGTGGTTTGATTGTGAATGGCTGTGTATCTGTCCATCACAACTTCTCACAATTGTAATCAGAAGCATGGCTAAAAAAACACATACAGAGCATTTGATTTTGTGGACACAGTTAGTCTTCCTTTGTTGATAAAAAAGCACACTGTAGAATAAAAATTAAGGAGATACCCCTCCATCTCTCTGGTCTCACAGCACTTTGTAAAGACCTTCTGCATGTCAAGCAAAGCCACATGCAACAGCTACACTGACAGACACAGGCTGTGGTGGGCCGTTTCTCCTCCCTTTGACCAACCATCAAGGCTGTTTACTCAGAACAGACCTGACGATGGGCTTCAACAGGATGTGTAGTGAGAGGAGAGATACAAGAGGCTTCAGCAGGCTAACTTTAGTTTCACAGACTGAAATGATTGATTTACTTTTACGTGTATGTTATTGTGCTCATTTAAAGAACAAATCATGTCCCTTTGTTTTGTGTTTTTAAAATGGAACCAAAAGCATCTGAAACTGTGGAAGATGAGCTTAAGCTTGTTTTTGATTTAA